CATCAGACTAAATGAATAAGTAGAGAAAATTGAAAAGAATAAAAAATAAAAAGCAAACATAAAAAATACACCACTCCCTTCTCTTAACAAAAAAAAATAAAATAACATAACAAAACAGAAAAAAATTATTACAAAATAACTAGCAACAAAACAGCCAGCACAAAAAAAAAAAATGAAAAAGCATAAAAAGTAACAACAAAACAGAAAAATTAACAGAAAGATGAATGTTAGTTAAAAATATGTTGTATCGACAAGATACAACACAAGTTAAAAACCACCGAAGAGACTACTATCGCGTGAGGTCTCTCTATATTTTGTTTCTTTCTTTTTCTCTTATTATTATTATTTTTATTTTGTTGTACATAATCTGTTTTTCTTGGTTTTTATTTTACTTACTTTGTTATACACTGCTTACATATTATTATTTTTATTATTTTTTTCTTTTTCAGCTCATAACCTCTTCTTCTTCTTTTTCTTCTTATTTCATTCTTCTATTCTTCTTCTTCATATTTCTATCCTTTTTAACATCCGTTATTATTAGTGTATCTTTTGAATTTTCTTTTACTCTCTTCATTCGTATATGTACCTATTTTTTTGAAATAATATAAAAGATAATGTTATATGCGTATAACAGTTATAAAATATTACGTTAAAATATTACAGATTTTGTAAAAGAATATAAAATATGTATGTAGATGTGTATATAATATATATAAAAAAATTTTATACGAAAAAATTTGTATAACATTATCACACTTTTGTTGGCGAGAATAAATACATGCATATATTAATAAGTATAAAAGAATTGATATATACGAGTACATATGTATATGGATGTTCATGTAACATGTTATTATAATATATATGTAGTAAAATAGTACAGCCCAATTTAAAATAGTGTATATTATAATAAATGGCTACATTTGTAGTAAAATACAAATAACTAATTATTGTAAATCAGAAAATACATAATATCGTAAAATATTTGAGTACATTTGGACAATACTTAATGACTATTGAAGATTAATATATTGACGTATATTAGAGTGCATAATTATTGTTATAAAAAAATTGATTTTGAAATTAACTTAATATACTTTTATAATTAATTTAAAGAATATATACCTAATCATTTATTAATTAACAATAAAATATTACTCGTATCAATTTAAGTGACATGACAATAACATTTATGCAAACTATTACGACGCTATTGAATATAAAAGCAAAAACTAACTTAATTGCGACGGGAATTTAAGCTTTTACAAATTTTATATTTTTATCAAAATTGGAATAGTAGTAAGTTCCTCTTAAGATCCTAAATATTCGTAACCAAGTGTAGAAAATTTTAAAACTATACGCTGAAACTACCAGCTACAGAAACCTATAACAAAGCAGTTAAGTTGAGAATATTAATTGATAGGAAAACAGAGGCAGTATAACTTAGAAGAGGAAAATTGAAGTTTGACAACATTAAAATTACACTCTCATAAATTGAAGTTGTAGTTTATTGAGTGATCATTGATTATTTACACCTAGTGACTTGTGTTCTTGTATATACACAAAAAAAAAATTCAAGCAATTAATTAGTAATACTACTGTCATGTTGTATAGTAAATATTGTCAACGTGTCCGTTTCAGTTAATTATAGCTGAATAAATAATGAGTTCTTTTGATGAGTATGTCTCTGATGTCGATCTTTGATATTTCGCCTAGTTCGAAAAATTTATCAAGCTCATTTGACCATTGTGAATAGTAATCTGTTATACCATATCGCTTCTACCTTTTCTACTACTTTGGCTACATAATTAATTAAATCTATTATACTTTAAAATATTAATAATTCTTTATTGAAAATCTTTTTTATATTATACCAGTTTTATATATTAATTGTTATACTACTAATTGTATAATAATTGTTATATTATTAGTTCACATAACAATATTATATGAAATTATAATGTTTTCCAATTTTCTATAACCAAATTAATGTTATAAAAGATATATATATATATTTTATAATTGTATACATATGTATATACTTATATATTTAGTTATACTATTAGAATGCAATTCAATAAAAACTTTAATCTACTATCGTAATTATTATTATTATTAAAATTTATTATGAGAGTATAAAGAAGAGAAATGGAAAGAAAAAAATTTTAAAATTACAACTACAATCACAAAATAATTCCAACATTTTATGATTGATATTCATTATAATTGATAATATTTGATATTGATATAAATTGATATTGATGATCAGAAATGATGAATACATACAAAACACAATAATATTGTACAATATTGTTGTACTCTATGTCGTCGTCGTTTTTTTTTTCTCTCTTTTTCTTATAGTTTTTTTTAACTTGTTTTTTTTTTCATTTATTTTTTTTTTGTTCATTCATTCATTCATTTATTTTTTATTTAATTGTTTTTTTTTTTCTGTCATTTTTGTTTTATTTTGTTTAATTTCTTGTTGAACAAAATATTTTACTTCTTTTTCTATTCAACATTAAATTTCTTATCTCTGTTTAATAATCTTTCCTATTCCTTTTCTCTTTATAACCATTTAATTTTCAAATGAAAATTTATTTTCCTCTCTCTCTTTCTCTCTACATTATATGGGTTTTCTTATTCATTCTATCTAATATTGATTTAATGTAGTATATATGAAATAACATTTATATTGTTGTTTAAGTATACAGTTAAAAGAGTATAACAGTTTTTTTTTTTTGTAATAACGTTTCATTTCTTTTTGTTGTTTCTATTTGTGTAATACTGTAATACTGTATGTATTCGTTATTATATTTTGTTGGGGTTGTGTTTTCTTTTATGTTTTTTATTTTTCTTGTTCTTGTCATACTTGTGTTCTTTCCTCGTTTTTATGCCATCATTCGTTCGTTGATGGTGTTGTTACCTTATTTGTATTTATGGTTGTTCATTTTTTTTTCTTGTTTTCTTGTATAATTTTTGTTGGTGCATTTTTACTGCTCCTGCTGTTTTCGCCTTTTGGTTTTCTTTTTTTTTTTTTATTGTTCTTGTTAAATTTATATAATTGTTATACATTTATGTGTGTTTGTGTATACATTATTATTGTATTGTTTTTATTGTTATATGCATTTTGTATATGTATATGAACATAGATATTATAATATGTACAATAAATAATAAAAATGTAGAATATAACCGTATGTATTTTCATGTATAACAATAAATACGTATGTATAACTACTACATTAAATTGTGTTGTCATTCTTAATAAAAACTACATAAGAGAAAACTTGTTTTTTTTTTTTATTCTACTATTTTTTGATTTTTATTATTTTTTAAATGAAATGCATACATTTTTGTTGTGAAGGTATGTACATTTGTATTATTATAGTTATACAAAATGTATTCATGTACATTTTTATTATTTGAAAATAAAAAAAACAAGAAACAAAAAAATTTGTGTTGCTAGCATTATGTTGCTGGATTTATATTTTTGTGTTGTGTTTTTTTTTTATTTTTGGTTTTTGAAACAAAAGTAAAAATGTTTAATCTTTTGTGCCTGTCGGGTTGAATTTGTCAGCAACATTTGTTTGCATGTTAGTCTTATTTCGACTGTTAAATAGATTGTATCGTTTGTTCGCCTGGTATATAGTAGAAAAAAAAATCATTATTATTTTATTTTAATAATAAATACACATGTGTACATATAAATATAATTTTTATATATAAAAAAAAAAAATATTTTCGAAATTTTTGTTTTCATTTTTATTTTATTATTTATTATTCAATTGGAATTTGAATAATATTAATATTGAAATTATAATTGAAACCAGTTTATTAATAAAGAGAAAAAAAAATAACAATATTCATTATTACAGTTTATTTGCATTGATATTGTCATAATTACAATGTTAAAGAGAAAATGTTATTATTATTACGTTACATATCGTATAACATCTCGTGGTGTCATAAAAAAAATAATAACGTAGTATAACAAATATAATTATATTTTATAGAAAATGAAAAATACAATATTATTTACGAAATGAATTTTTAAATATTTTTTGACAATAAAATAAAAATAACAAAAATAATTAATTATTAAATTTTGTGTATAACAGAAAAAAAAATTTTTATTATTATACAAAAATAAAGTTTGTAGGAACTTTTAATAAAGATATACAGATGTTTGAATTTGATTTTAAAGATTGAGCAAGAAATTATTAAAAAATAATAAAAAAAAAAAAAAGTGTGCAAAAAATTATTATAATAGCAATTAAATTATAAAAATTTAAAATTGTATAACACTTTTAACTTATATAATTTAAAAAATAATAAACATGTGTACATTTTTCTATATTTTACATTTGAATCATTTTTTTTTTCCAAAATTTTAAAATTTAAAAATTAAATATTTAAATCAATAATATTACAAATATTGCATATAACAATATAAGGAAAAATATAAAAGAATTAAACAAAATATTTAAATATTTATGAAACGAAATATTCAAAATTATTGAAAATTTTTGGAAAAAGTGCTATTTAAATATGAATATAACAGAAATTAATTGAAAAATAATTGGCACATACCTAATTAAAATTGTATAATTATAAAATAAAATATATATAACAGAAAATAATTAATTAAAAATTAAATATAATAATAAATATATTAAGAATGCTAAAATATAATATAAAGTGAAACAATGTTTTTAATAAAAATTAATTATTTGAATTAAAATATCAAATTTATTTTTAAAAAAATACCCGAAAAGAGTGATGATAATTACAAAAAATATTGAATTTATTTGATAAATTGTTATATAAAAAAAATTATACAATAATTATGAATAAATTATTACAAATATAGTGAAAAATACTTGTAATATACTTTTCAGTTTTTTCTTGTGAAAAAAAAATTTTGAATAAAATTTAAAATGAATTTAATTTAATTATTAATTTTTATTCGTTTTTGGGTATTTTGATTGTATAACAAAAAAAAAAAAACGACTTATTTTAAGGTCTAATAATTAACTAAGAAGCATAATTCAAAAAAAAAATAAATTATTAAAATAAATTTTATAATTAATTTTTAACAAAAGGATTCAAATATTTTCATAGTGCATGGTATGTAATAAAAAATATTTCTTTTTAAATTCCTAATTAAGTGTAGATACTCACTTATGCCATGTCAATTGTTTAGGACTCTAGGTTTACGAATTACGCTAACTACTATTTCTTGATTAGGAATTTTGTTATATTTTTGACTATGTAGTTATATTTTTTGATAATTATTGGTGATATTGGTGATTTATTGGTGAATTAAATAATAATTTTCGACAAAATGGTCTTTAAGTCTATTGTTTATTAGGTACGCCTTTCATTATGATTCTAGGCTTCGAGAAGAAATTGATTTAATACTATATTGTACAAAAATATAAAGACTTTTTACTTATATAAAACTCATTCATTTTAGTATAGATGTTAATTGAATCCTTGTCATTGAAACTATGCAAATTAAAATTTTATTTCTATGATTTTAAATTTCAATTTATAAATATTATACTTATGCGAATATTTAATACAAGTGACCATTGACTGTTAAAATAAAAATGAAATTTGCATTTCAAATCACACAACCTACTTAATTTGTGATACACTAAATAGTAACTAATAAGAATTATAAGTGATTATTTTAATTGAATCAGGTTCAGGTGAAATTTGACACAAAATTTTTAAAAAGAAAATTGGTACTTATATACAAAAAGCTTAATGCCAAATTGCTTTGAAATTGTCTGGCTTTGATTAGTCTTGCTTCTTCAAATCCAATTATTAAAGGAAAATGTTAAATTTCGCTGTAATTATTCATAATTTCGCGAAATTATTTCGTAAGACAAAAAATTATTTATTTCTTAGTGATTTCAAGTGTGAACACTTCGTTTTTATAAACATAATATGTTCAGTTGCGATGAAATTACTCTGAGATCAATATTCACAATATTAGATTCAGGAAATTTCATTTTAATTTTCCTCTTTTTTTAAAATTTTCCGATTTAATATACTTAAGTAATAAGAATAATGGAAATTTTTATATATATATATATATATCTACTTAAGTATGTTTTTATTTTCTAAGAAGTTCATACAGCTACAAAATTATTCCTAATCTGGATTTGTACTTATTAATCTAGTTTTAAGAAAAACAGAACGAAGAAAACTTAAAGACAATTGTAAATTTCCGTCGGTGTTTCTTTCATACCGGAAATTTTCTTGTATGTAAAAATGAATTCATATTGAAACTTGTTTTCATAATACTTAATTGTTACTTAAAACTCTGTGATTTTTAAGTTTTAATAATTAAATTTAATAAAACTTAACTACAAAATAATAGTCGATGTTAATTCGTATAATATGCAATTTTATAATGGATTGAACATCTCAAAATGAATTTTCCAAATTTGAACGAAATCTTGAAGTAATCGTTAAAAAATAGAATTAGATTGTAAACAAAATTTGTATTACAGTTACAGAAATACCTTGTAACTGTTAACGTTATGCAATTTATTTTGTTATTTTTAGTAAAATGTAATTTGAAACACAAAATATCTCATGTAATATGCATGTACTTTCTTAAGTTTAGGCTTATAAAATTTTGAATTTCAAAAAATAATTGCGATTTGTTATAGTTAAAATCTGCGCTTATTATAAAAATTTATCTTTTGCAGATGCGCAAGTAAGTTTTCAATATATTTACAAGTACATGTTCGTTACTGCAAGTATTGATGATTAAATTTGGATTTTGAAGATCTAAATTTCAAATTTGTTCCATAATGTAAGCACAATAGTCTATAAAATTTTGTACAGTAAGATTCTTAGGTTCAATGCTGTATCGTTTTATGTAGGCTTAGAATTTTAAGAATAGTATATTTATAAAACTAAACATATGTTAAAAGGCAGTTTAAAACATGAGTTTGTTTACAATATGGAAAGAATCCCAAGGCTTTGAATTCGAAACTTTATGTAATTAGAAATTATTCTAATTTTTGCTTAAGAAAGAAATGATTTTTAAATGAAAAGCCGTCAATAAATTTTCATTTTATTAAATTACATGAATACTTAATTTCACCTCAATTTTATTCTCTTTTTTAGTTAAATAAGGCAATATTATTGTTTTTCAGATAATTTTTAAGCTCTAAGTTATGAAAATTTTGAAAAGTTTCAAAAATTTTATTAATTTTTTTACAATATCTTCTAATAAAAGAAATTTTACTTACTAAATTTATCATTTTTGAATTCATTACAAATGTATAACAGATTCGAAAATGACTTCATATTCAAAAACTATACAAGTATGTAGATATAGCGAAGACAATATTATAGAATGAGTAGAAGAAGTTCAAATTGTAAGATAATGAAAAATAAAATTAATATTTAATTAATTTTACAATTATTATATACTTATATGTAATTGTTATCATTATTTGCCTTGTAACAACTTGTAATCATTACAAAATTAATTTAAAAAATATTGTGTAAATAAATTAAATTGTACATTGAGTAATTTAATTTCTTAAGTAAATAATATTGAGCTTAAATTCTTATTATACTCGTATAGTCAGTGTTATTATACTTGCTACATGTATAATTAAACTGATAATGTATTATAAATTTTATAAGTATTTTATGATGTCATAAGTAATTAAATTTAATTACTTTTGTGATGTCATCAATTATAATTGCAATCATGCATTGGTGAAAGAAATATAATCAGTAGAAGTGAATATAAGAGAAAATTAAAATTTATTAAGTATTTAACCTCAGTTTGTAAATCATACTTGCTTCTCTTCTAAGAGCATCCGCTTCTAGAATGTGGAGAAGGTCTAATCCAGTTTGAGACGTCCACTCATCTTTATATATGGAGAGCTCTAATCTAATTTGCCACTCCCTCCTTTTCTTATGTCGTATTTGTTTTGCGAATGAGGAGATATTTTTTCTTTAATTTGAAATATTTTATGTTTTTCGATATTTAATACACTAATTTTCCTTGGACTAAATTTAATTTCAATAAATTTAAAAATTTTTCTAAATGATTCAAATTTGAATTTGTGTCCAAAAAAAAAAAAATTAATCTGGTATTGTTGAAAAAACTTGAATTGAAAATTTAAATATAATTTTTTCAAAAATGTTGGAATTTCATACAATTTCCGGAATTGACGGAAGGTATTCGGGTTTAGTAATCAAATTCTGACCATAGTACAGAAAATTTTAATTAGAAATAAAATATAAAGCTGCTCAAGTCGAAATAATTATGCTCATAGCCCAAATTTTCTTTTACAATCACAGAATTTGTAATGTTATCCTAAATATAGAATTATTATAATAAAATTCGGCACCTGAAATTCTACATTTTCATTATCTACATTTTCTAATTTAAAACCGTCTTTAATTCTAGAGTATGAATTCATATTTTGCTTTGTCCCTTTAAAATAATTGTTATCATAATATCAATGATTATAATGTCCTTGCTATAAGTATTATACATTTTACAAAATTCTATAAATTTCTTATCAATAAATTATTAATTTGAAGGTAAAAAATTTTTTTATGGTTTATTATGACATTATACTAAACAAGCAATCCGAACATTATTAGACAGAACTTATGTGTTTTATTATGACAAAACATTTTAAATTCTATTTACTATATGACAGAACTTATATGAATATTGAATTAAAATTAATTGTCAATTAACTTATACGATACCGCAAACTATTATATAAAATAGTATAAATAAATTTTTTAATGTTTCTATTTAAAAACAAATTTGATAAGCAAATAATCATATGTATGTATGTATTCATTGTGGGCCTAGGTTTAACAAAAATATTATATGAAATATTCAAATAATCACACAATCATTATCAAAAATCAAAAAATTTTTGTTATAAATTTAATTGATAAGAGAAAAATCAATATTTTATCTTATTCTTTAAAAATATTTAAACATTTTGTATAAAAAAAAAACAAATTTTTTTTGAAGTCGGAATCTCTTTTACATAACAAAAATGATTTTTGACATTCCCTATGTCAAATAATTTTTTGTATTTGTAAAATTGTCATTTTAAAAAATTATTATTGTAAATACAAATATCAAAATTATTAAATTGACAATTAAGTTTTTTTAAATATACCCAATGAAATTGAATGATTGTATTTGTTTTTTATTGTTGATTTTGTTATTAGTAAATAAAGTAAAAATGGTCTCTAGATTTGTTAAGAAAATGGTTTTGTTATGAATTTTCGGTATAACTTTCGTTTTATAACAATATCGTTTAATCTGTCATGAGATTTGAAATAAAAATCGAAAATTTTTCTAATTTTTGGATAAAAATAAATATGTACAACATAATTATACTTAAATGTATATCTACATACCTAATATTACTTAATTGAATGAGTAAAATAAATACAAGGTAAATTATACTTAGATATTTTAGATTATTATACAGTGACTTCTCGATATTTGAAAATTAATTGAAGTAGCGTGAAAATTATCGAAAATTTTTATACTTAATTACAATTTATATCGACAAGAATTTTTTTATTTAATTATATTTCCCTCCAATGAACCCATTTGCTCCAACAGAGTATAATTTTTTATACGAAAATAGTAAATACTAATTAGTATCTGGTCCATGGTTTATGGAATTTGTTGAATTATCAAACCTCAGAACTGGTATAATGAGAAATTTTTTACATATTTTCCTAAATTACATTAAATTGAATTGCAAATCTAGTTATAAAGTAATAATTTTTAAGCCAAATTTAGTATTACATATAAGTACATGTGTGTTATACTACTTATATATACAATTAAATATGATTTTGCAAGCTGAATTTCATTAATAATTTATTAAGTTATATTAGAATATTCAGTATTAATATAGAATATAAAATAGGTTGCCATACTTAATATATGTTGACAATATTAATTGGGTCATTCCAGTTTTTACAGAACAGAGTTTTTTTTATTAAAAAAAATAATGGTGGAAATAGATTTTATTTTTCAATTAGATCTAATTTCTTGTCTTATGTGTGGCTACTTTTATATTTTAATGAAAAATTAT